ATAGATGCCCTTCTCTGCTCTGAGTCCACCTCCACCCTGGAACAGGCCCTCATCATCTCACCCCTGGCCTCTTGCAATAGCCTGCTGGGGCAGGGGAGAGGTCTGCCTGTCTCAGATTCCTCCTCACTCCATCTTCCACTCAGCTGTCACATGATCTTCCAAGGCACAGGCCCAGTCCTGTCACACCTCCTGCCCCCATCACCTCCAGGATCAAAGCGCTTCATAACCATCCCTCCTCCCAACTCTTCGGTCTCACACCTTACACTAGCCTCCTTATTGTTCCTCAAACAAGAAACTCCACGTACCCAGTGGGGATATTTTCTCCGGCTATCTCCCGTGCCTGGAATTCTCTCCTGCCTCCCATCCACCTATCGGCTCATGTTGCTTTCTTCAAGTGCCAACTAAATCCCTGCTTCTACCTGATCCCCTCAATCCCAGGGCCTTCCCTTTGCAGATCCCCTCCAATCTGTCCTGTATATGCCCTGGATGTACACAGCTGTGTACACTGTGGCTCCCTCACGAGACTGTGAACTCCTCAAGAGAAGTAACTGTCTTTTGCCTTTTTTGTATCCCTGGTGCTTAGTCACAGGGCTTGGCACACAGTAGGTGCTTAATAAATGTTTACCGGGGGCAGTTAGGTGGCGCAGTGGCCACTGGATTCAGGATGGCCTGAGTTCAAATCTGGTCTCAGACACATAACACTTACTAGCTGTGTGGCCCTGGGCAAGTTACTTAACCCCACTGCCTAGAAAAAATAAAATAAAATAAATGTTTACTGAACACTGATAAAAAAAAAAAGTCCCAACATATTCCAAAATACCTACGGCAGCACTTTTTATGATAACAAAGAATTGGAAACAAAGGAGATACCCATGAATTGGGGAATGGCTAAAGAAATTCCAGTGCATGAATCTTACTGTGCTATAAGAAATGGTATGTATGATGAACACAGAGAAGCTTGGGAAAATTTATGTGAACTGACGCGGAGTAAAGCCAGCACAGCTAAGGAAACAATCTATACAATTATAAATAATATACAAACAATATACATGACTGTAACAACGAACAACCACAGACACACAGAAGTCCAAAGTGAAGGTTACAAAAGTACACAGAACAAGCAGAACTCAAAACAAGAGGGCTGAGAGAATACACTTGCCCTTTGACAGAGGCAGAGGTGGCATGTGGCCCATGTTTTTCAATCTTTTTTAATGCCATGATCTTTTCCCTCTTCTTTTCGTCTAAATAAAACTATCTGTTATATGGAATGGCTTTCTGAGAGGAAAAAAGAAAGGGGGGAGAGATGCTGGGGGTAACTATGGTGATATAAAAGCCAAAGACATCAGTACAAACTTATTTTAAAAAAATATTTATTGCCATGTTATTGTCCTCACACAAGGATCACTACAATGGCTCACTTGTGGTTATCAATGAGGCAGGGGGGGTGGCCATCCTCATCCCCATTATAATACCATTATCGCAGAGCTGGAATGCACCTGAACCTGACCGTGAATTGCCTCTACCATCCACCTGACAAGTAATCAACCAGCCTTTGCCCATTATTTCCCAAGGTAGTTCTAACTATATGATCACAGCTCTAGTGCTGGAAGGGACCTCAGGGGCCATCTAGTGTAACCCCCTCATTTTACAGATGAGGAAAATGATTTGTCCAAGGTCACACAGGTTGTAAGAGAGGTAGGATTTGAATCTAGGTCTTTGCACTATACAATACCGCTTCCCTAAGAAATGTTTTTGGTCAGTTTTCCCTTACACTGAGCTGAAATCTGCCTTTTGTCAATTTTAGCCCTCTGCTCTTAGTCAACAAGCATTAACAAGGCCTACTATGTGTCAGGCATTGTGCTGAGCTCTGGGAATACAAAGGGAGGCAAAGGACAGCCCCTGTCCTCAAGGAGATCAAAGTCTAAAGAGGGAGAAGATACAGGCGAGGTAAGCTGGAGATAATTAACAGAGGGAAGGTCCTGGCATTATGGAGGATTAGGAAAGGCTTCCCACAGAAGATGGGGGAAGGCCAGGCAGGCCAAGAGGCAGAGATGAAGATGGAGAACATTCCAGGGCTGGTGGACAGCCAGTTCTGTCTTCTGAGAGTAAGCAGAATTCCAATGGTAATAATAGCTGACCCATATAACCCTTTAAGGTTCACAAAGCACTCGCTCACTTGACTGCCACAATGGCCTTGGGAGGTAGACAAAGAGAGAGCCTGCTGACTGCTCAGTGACCTGCCCAGGGTCCCCCCTGGGCTCATTAGTACCAAGAGCCAGGATTCCAAGCCAGATATCCTCTAACTACCAAGTAGCTCTTGTTCACTTCACATTAAAAATCTTGTGAATGTTTGAAGAAAGTAGCCAGGTTTGGCTTAACTCTTCCCTACTCCAGGTATCAATATCCAAGTGCCTCCTGGAAATCTTTGCATGAACAGTATGGAGTCCCGTCATCATCCTGGGTGCCCTCCTCTGGAACCTCAGGCCCAGGGACATGTCATGTCAGTTTCTGTCCTAAGAGGGTGTACCTGAATACCCAGGAGGAGGTCTGACCAGAGCCAAGCCAAGCAGCACCATCACCTCTGCTAACCTCTGGGTCTGGGCACTCATCCTAGCCCCTGAGAAGTCCACGAAAAGCCCAGCTACTGCTTCTCTCACAGGCTTCAGCCTACTCCTGTCTTTCCTCAATCTGGTACTTGAAGAGTAGCAGTTTGGTTTTTTTTTACACTAAAGCATAAGGCTTTACCTTCACTTCTATTCAATATTATCTTATTAGATCTGGCCAGTCATTCTAGCATTCTGAGATCTTTTTGGATTCTATCTCACCTTTGTCATTTTCACATTTTGGATAAACTTGTGCTGTCTACACCTTCTTCCATACCACTGGAAAAAAAAAACTGTCAAGAGTAGGGTCAAGGTCTGGGCCTGAGTCTTGAACTCTCTCTATGTTCACAGGATGTCAGAGCTGGAAGGGTGAAAATGACCCAATCCAACCATAACGGTTCCAACGTTGCCATGAACATCCTGGCAAAATCAAAGAAAATAGCACGCCCAGATCTGCTTCCTGTTCGAGGCAGGATCTGAACTCAAGTTTTTCTGACCCCAAGCACCAGGTTCTGTCTACTGTGGGTTATGAAGTGCTTACTAAAACCAGGCATCTTGCTAAGCACTGAGGATACAAACACAAGCAAGAAATTCTTGCCCTCTAGGAGCTGACATTCCAACGAAGGAGGGGTAGGACTGCTAAAAGGAAGTTTTCAAAAGTGAGGCTAATGCCACGCAGCGGCAGTGACTCCTCCTGTTGGCCTCTGCTTCTCCGGTGTGGTGGAGCAGGGCTGTTTGCAGCTGCCTGTCCTCATTCTCTGCTTTTACTTACCTCCTGGCTCCGACCTTTCGAATCTGGCCTTTTGTGATTTCCAGTCTGGATTACCCAGTATCAGATCACAAGTACCTGTACTGTCCCCTGCTTTTGGTCAGTTTTCCCTTACACTGAGCTGAAATCTGCCTTTTGTCAATTTTAGCCCTCTGCTCTTAGTCAACAAGCATTAACAAGGCCTACTATGTGTCAGGTTTTCAAGAAAGGGGACAAGGTCTAGAAAAAGCTGTAAGCTGGAGAAATGTTTATTTTTTAAAATATTTTCAGCTGAGTCAAAATGATTTTTTTTTTAGTTTATGTAAAAATTTATTTGACCAAAAGCTAGAGAAAGGTGATACTATTACACATGATACATTTGGTAAAGATCTAAATGAAAAGCAAGCACTGGTTTCATTCAGCTTCAGATTTCTAGTGTGTTTCTGGGAACTGTGTAAAAAGATGATTTTTAAATATCCTACCTACTGTAAAACATCCAGCCATAAGTGGCTGCTCAGCTTGCAGAAAGCTTGCTAAAACCTAGATCCCCAATCCAGCCCTCTCCTCTAACACACCCCAAGGGCTCAATGTCCCTGTGCCAGAGCCTAATTGTTTCACATTTCTATAGCACTTTAAGGTGTACAAAGTGATTCCTTCACAGCAACCCTGTGTAAGAGAAAGTGGTACAAGCATTTGTAACCCCTTTTTACTGGGGTTGAATGAGGCTTGGAAGTCAAGTGACTTGCCTGTGATCATGCCATAATCATCATCCATGTTTCTGCCTAAGTGCTGGTGATACAAAGAGAGGCAAAAAGCAGGTCCCTGCCCTCAAGGAGCTCCCAATCTAATGGATTGCATAGCTAATAGGCAGCTGAGGCAGAATCTGAACTCAGATTTCCTAAGTCCCAGGTCCTATCCCCTACTCCACACTGCCTCTGCTCTTTTGGCAGGTTCAACGCCAACAGTCTTCTCAACTTTCTACACAAAGAAAGGGAGCCATGAGGTCATCAGATTTTGGTAGGACTAGCCAGTTGGCTGGTTTTGTCAGGGACAATTTTTTTTTGAAATAAAAGCTTTCCTCAGTGAAAAAGAATAAAAAATAACACACTTATAGGAAAAGAGTCAGAAAGACAGCTATCTCTGTTCTGCATTTTCTCTAGCCTTTCAAGTGTCTGTTTTAGTGAAATCTATTTTAGTTGTTAATTAACACTGACAGTACACAAAGTTCTTTCTGTGACCACAGAAATCACCAGAAATGCTGAGAAGGAGTGAATTTACCTCCTCCTCCCCTATGGCTTCAGGAAAGTATTTCACCCATCTCAAGATCCCTATCTCTAATCTCAGGCCACTACGGTTGGTTAATAGCTGCTGGTATTACACAGGACAATCCATGTTGGGGTTTGACACAGTACATTTCTCTCAAAGGAACTAAGGTTTTTGTTATGTTCTGTCAGTACTAAGCCTGGTCCAACGAAGCTGAGCAAAATGAAATCTCTTTGCCTCGCAGTGGGAGGATACTGGGAAATCATGAACTGATCCCGACTCTTGAAAAGGGTGAATAAGCAAGCATTATCTGATGACCAGGATTCCTAAGAGTGGCTTCAAAACTGCTGATACTTGGGATCAGCCCCCAGACCCCACTCCCTCACCTTCTTGGACCTCCAACAGCGGCAGTATACGGCTTTCTCTCCCAAGTCTTCCATGTCAAATGCGTGGACAACCTTGGGGTTGTCTTTCTGGATGGTGGGGTTGACCATCGAACCGTAGCCTTTTTCTTTCACCAAAAACCTTTTGTAAGCTAGGTAGCCCACCACAGCGGTGCCAGCAGCCAGGGCCACAGCTGCAATGTAGTCTGCAAAATCAAGGAGAAAAAGAAAATCATGATCAGCAGAGATTGGGCTAAATAAATTGTGGAACATGAATATAGTAAGAATAGTATTACTCCTTGACAATGGATTTGAGGATTTCAGAGAATCATGGGAAGATGCAGGTGAACTGATAAAGAGTAAAGTAAGCAGAAACAAGAAAACAATCTATACCATACTTGCAAAAAAAATGTAAATGAAACTGATAAATACAGTGTAATTATAATGACCCTAGAGAAGAGAAAAAACATACCTACTCCTCTTTAAGAAGGTGGAGGACTATGGGCACAGAGAATTATAAATACTATCAGACACAAATAATTTGTTGGTTTTGCTATCCTGTTTTTCCCTCCTTTTCGCAATCTTTGTGAAAAAGAAATAGGTCTGGATCAAGGATAGGGCAGGATATATCTGAAAATGAAAGTGACAGAAACACTTTTAACAGCTGTCTTCGCTTTGACCCAGCAACAGCACTCCTAGGGCTATATCCCAAAGAGATCATACAAATGGGAAAAGGACCCACATGTACAAAAATATTCATAGCAGCTCTTTTTTGTGGTGACAAAGAATCGGAAATTGAGAGGATGCCCATCAATTGGGGATGGCTGAGCAAGTTGTGGCATATGAATGTAATGAAATATTATTGCGCTACAAGAAATGATGAGCAGGCAGACTTCAGAAAAACCTGGAAAAACTTGTATGGTCTGATGCTGAGTGAAGTGAGCAGAACCAGGAGAACGTTGTATACAGTAACATCCACTTTGTGCGATGACTTACACTGATAGACTTAGCCCTTCTCAAGCAATGCAAGGATTTAAGACATCTCCAAAGGTCTCGTGATAGAAAATGCTATCCACATCCAAAAAGAACTGTGGAGTTGGAAGGTAGATTGAAGCATACTACTTGCTATTTTTTTCCTTCTGCTTTGTTGTTTTCTCTTTCTGGTGGTTCCTCTTATTGCTTCTAATTCTTCCTTACAACATCACTAATGTGAAAATATGTTTAATAGGAATGTATATGTATAGCCTATATGAGATTGCGTGCCGTCTCGGGGAGGGAGGTGGAGAGGGAAAGGGAGAAAAATTTAAAACTCAAAAGCTTATGGAAGTGATTGTTAATAATTCAAAATAAATTAAATTTTAAAAAGTGAATGCTGAAAACTATTTTTGCATGTAATTGGAAAAAAAATACTATTAAATGGAGAAAAAATAAAATACAAACCAAGTAAAAAAAAAAAGCAGGGTATTATTTCCTTGCTTTCTTCTGGACAGCTCTTGGGCTCTCTTCCCTTGCCCACACCACAGGACCAATTCTCACCCTATCATCCATTTTCTTACTCTATCACACAATTCCTTGATGGTATTTTTTACCCTCATTCTTCAGTGAAATTCCTCATTGGTTCTACGTTGCTGTTTAAGCCAACAAAAATTTTTTTGAGCAGGGGAATACAAACATGAGCAAAAAGGCAGTCTCTGCCCTCAAGGAGGTTACATTCTAATGGGGGAAGATAACACACCAAAAGGACCTGAAAAGAACAGAAGAGGTGCCCCAGTAGGGGTGAGTGAAGTAGAGAAAATGAAGAATGGTGGTGGAGCTTCCGGAAAGAATTCATCAATGGCAGAAAGGAGACAGGGGAGTTGAGGGAGAAGACAGGTTGAAGGCAGCAGAAATATGATAATGCCCCAGATTGTTCTGTAAAATATACACTATTTTAACACACCAGAGAGACGTGGCCTCACAGTTAGGAAGAGCCAGGTTTAAGTCCTGCCCCTGACATATACGGATGGTATGCTCTTGTGTCAAGGTGAGTCACAACCTCTCAGTACTAAGGCAGCTCTCCAAAACTCAAAGGTTTCACAGAAGGTGCCAACCTGCCTTGGTGGAGGGTGCTTCCTACTGGGAAATCACAGGGCCAGGACCTCTAGCACCTACACTGCCCAGCTCACCTGCCTCTTCCTGAACTTCCTCCTGCTCTGGCTTGTGCATTTTTAGTGTCTCCTTGATATTGTTCATGTGGCCTTTCATGAGCCCTGTCCCCAAATGGGACACCAGCCCCTGCTCCAGGGAAGCTTTGAGAGATGCCAGCTCTGTACTACCTGATAGCCTCAGAGCACAGGTAACAATATTAGACAATAATAACTGGCCTTCAGCCAGTACTTACAAATTTGCAAGTGCTTTATACACAGGCTCTCATCCGAACCTCACAACTCTGAGGGGAAGAGATCCACTAGTATTATGATGCCCATTTTACAGATGAGGAAAACTGAGGCCCAGAGAGGTTACAGGGCCTCTCTAGGGTCATAAAGCTAGCAAATGCCAGAGGCAGGAGCTGTACCCAGGCAAGCCTGCTCCAGGTCTACCAAGCTATCCACCACATCATGTAGCTGCACTTGTTACATCATATAAAAGGTGGTAGAGAAAACCTGGGAAGAGAAGGTCAAGTGGACGAAGAGGGGCGCTTCGCACCATTCTCCCAGTGTGCCAAAAGTACCTAGACAGACACCAAAGCTCAAATGAAACCTACGTCTCCCATCTCTCCAAGTGATCCCGAATCGACCAGGCCACTGCTCCCACCTTTCCAGACATTTACAAGTCTTTCTGATGCTTTCTCTCTTGGTGATATCTACAAGCTTTTTTCAACTTTTGAGATGGGTTTTTTCCAACCCTATGCTCCCTATGTTCCCTCCACTTTGGCTATTTTTTTTGTTTTTGTGGTTCTGGGGAAGGAACAATGGCTTTGGTGTCAGACGCACTAGCCCTACTCTCACATGCTCACAAGTCTTATCTTGGGCCAAGGACTTAACCTCTATGAGCCTCAATCATCCTCACCTAGAGAACTAGGGGGCTGAATCTCTAAGGTCAGTCCCTGCCAGCACCCAAAACCTTCAATGACTCTACTTATCCTCCACTTCCTCTCAGTAAGCAGGCTCAGTGCTTCTTTCACATAATGATGCTAAATTCTATCAACCTGACCTCTGCAACATCCATCCTATGCCTCCTTTCCTCCTGACGCTCCCACCACCCTGGATTACTGCAAGAGTCTGATGGTTGTTCTCCCTGCTACAAGTCACTTCTTGTCTACTCTCTATGAAGCTGCCAAACTTCTTCCCAAAGGGCCTAAGTGACCATGTCACCTCCCACGCCCACTCAGTAACTCCAGTGACTCTTCCTGCTTCCAGGACGAAATATGAAGTCTTCTGTTTAGCATTCAAAAACCTCTGATAATCTACCCCCTCCTAATTTTCCAGTCTTCTTAAACCTTACTCACTCCCGGTAGTCTTTAATCCAATGACACTGGCCTCCTTGCTGTTCACTGAACAAGAAATTCTACCTCCAAATCATGGCATTTTCACTGGCTATCACCTATACCTAGAATACTCTCACCTCATCTCTGCCTCCTGGCTTTCTTCGAGTACCAATTATATTCCCACCTTCTATGAGAAACCTTTCCTGATGTCTCTTAAGGACAAGGCCTTCCCTCAGTTGATTACCTCCAATCTATCCTGTCCATATTTTGTATGCACACAATTGTCTGCATGTTGTCTCTCTGATTAGACTGAGCTTCTTGAGAGGAGGAACTGTCTCTGTGTGTGCGTGGGTGTGCGTGTGTGTGGTCTTTTCTGGCATACTCAGAACTTAGTGGTGTCTGGTACATAGCAGTAATAAGTACTTGTGGAATGACTTATTCCTATGCATGGTTGCTATTTACATATAACAACAAAAAGAATAAATTTGGCCTCATATCAGTGGCAAGGAAAGAAAGTGACAAGTTAACATGAGATGCACATCTAGGTTTCCTTTTGACTCTCAAGCAGCACTGTCCAAAAGCCCGAGGCTAAGTTTTCACCAAGGATTTCTCTGGAGAAAGATTCTCAAGCCATCCATACCATGAAATCACCAATTGGGGATGGCTCTCAAGGAGGATTTTCAACCTTGCTAAAGATTTTCAAGTTCTATTCACAAGACTCCTCTTTCTTGATCTCTTAGAACCAAACACATTCCTTAAAAAGGGGAACTAAGGAAGTATACCTCTCTCCATTCAAACCACATTTATGAAATGCCTGTTGTGTGAAGGGCCCTGGGGATAAAAAGACAAAATCATTTTTTAAAATGGTCAGTCTGCCTTCTATTCTACCTCACTGTCACTTTGAAGAGTTAAGGCAGTAATGAGGAACTAAGTTAGAACTGACTTGGCTCTGGGAAATATATTCAGCAGAAGGGAAGCTGCAAGAGAAACTCAATTAAGTGAAAGCAGGACATCAGACAGGCAGAAAGCGGGAGAGTGACTAACTGGACCTGTGCAGAGAATGCTCTCTCTCCTGAAAGGAATTATCTTTACCATGCTGTTCAGAAGAAAGTACTTCCCCAAGCATCACCCTGCTTACTAGAGGCCTGGCTTGTGAATGGGATCTTATTTTGTCTACTTTACCATGCCCGCCTATACTCTGGTCCACCTCTTCTTCTCCCCTCACCTCCTCCAGCTGCCTTTATGGGCTGCCTTTCCCCATTAGAAGCTAAGCTCCTTGAAGACAGGGACTGACTTTTTTTTTTAAGAGTCCATGATATATTTCTAAAATAGAATTTTATTTTTTCTAATTACATGTAAAGACCATTTTCCCCCCCGGCAATTAGGGTTAAGTGACTTGCCCAGGGTCACACACAGCTAGTAAGTGCCCACCTAGCTGCCCCCAAGACCATTTTCAACATTCAATTTTTATAAGATTTTGAGTTCCAAGGGACAGCTAGATGGCGCAGTGGATAGAGCACTGGCCCTAGAATCAGAAGGACCTGAGTTCAAATGTGGCCTCAGACACATAACACTTACCAGCTGTGTGACTCTGGGAAAGTCACTTAACCCCAACTTATATATATTTAAAAAAGGTAAGATTTTGAGTTCCAAATTTTTCATCTCCCCCCCAAGAAGGCAAGAAATCTGATATAAGTTATCCATGTACAATCTTATTAAAACGTATTTCAGAACTGCCTTGCTTGTTTGTATTTGTATCTCCAGCCTTTAACACAGACCCTGGCACTTAACAACACTTAATCACTGTTGTATCCACCCTTCATCCATCTGTCCATTCTTCCATCCATCCCCTCACAGTTCTATTGACCACTGGTCATCCATTTACCTTTCATTCATCCATGCACTAGGGCTACAAATACAAAACCAAGGACACTCGTTCTCAGTGCTGGTGACTACACACAAAGGGGGAGGAGTGACTGCTCTGAAGTTACATACAGGGGTGCTGAGCAGGGCCCTGGAAGGAGAGTAAAAAGTCACACTCCATTTAGTAATTATGGTTTGACTTTGGTTTATGGTTCCAGAACTGGGGGGAGAGGAGAGAAGAAGGACCAGGTATTCTCTGAATGCCTCCTATAGTTCAAAGCCCTGAGTTAAAAAGAAGAAAGGTAAGATATTTTAGAAAGTCTAATTACCAGCAATTACCCATTATTGTTAACTTCCTCCCTTCGGATCCTATTCAACAGAACAATACCAAGAAGTCTGTCCTACCCATTAAAAAAAAACAAACACTTCTCTTCTCTGTACTCATTTCCCATGGAATTAACTGAAGAATGGTTTCGGTTCAGGATTTTTCAATTTCCTTTGCCATCCCCCTGCTCTGTTCTTGTGGAAGGAGTAGAGGGAAATGTCCTCCAGGAGGAAAAAAAGCTAAGATACTGAGAGTTGGCCAAAAGAGTGGTGGTCTCCCCAAGAATGGCAGTGGCCTATGTGGGGCTGCCCTAGGCTCCCGGGCAAAGCAGGAAGTCCCCCAATTCTGTCACTCTTATACTTGGGAGGTGACCAAGAAACAAGGGAAAGGCCCCTATTCTATTACTGCAAGCAAGAAACTGAGGCTGAAAGAACCAAATAAGACAGCAAAGAACAACACATGAAAACAGAGGGAAGCTCAAAGTCAACCCAGCAGGCCATTGCCTAATTCTAAAAGGTGGAGCAAGACAAGGACAGCAGCTTGGTTACTACAGTACAGCCAGAATGCCTACAGCCACTAGGGGGCGCCACAGTGCACAAGACCAGAGCCAGCAAGACCCCAGAAGTCAAATCTGGCCTCAGATATGTACTAGCTGTATGACCTAGGCAAGTCACTTAACCATCATCTACCTCAGCTTCCTCATCTGTAAAATGGGGATCGATCACAACAGCACCTACCACACAAGGTTGCTGTGAAGATCAAATGAGATAATAATTTGTAAAACACAGTACAGAGCCCGGCACACAGATGCTTAATAAATGCTTTCTCACTCCCATGCCCCTCCCTCACTGTGGGGTCAAGAAGACTTGGATTCAAATCCCACCTCAGATATCATGTGACCGTGAGGTTTGGATTGGACGGCTGTTACCATTTTTTGTTTTCCTGACCTTTGACATCATACTCCCTTTTACAAGGAGAGAATCATCCAGTGCTTCACTGGCAGAGAAAGGCCTGCATCCTAAGTTACAGCTTTGGGGCTGCAAGGCCACCTAGAATAACCTGTCATTTTACAGGTGAAGAATTTGCTGCCAGAGGTGAAGGCACATGCCAGGGACCCACAGGTAGTGCAGCTGGGTCATCAACCAAGTCTCCAGCTCTTTGTGACAGCCCCACGTCTAGAAGAAAGTCAAGCACTTCTCACTAACCCACAAGACCTGTGCCTCAAGAGGGTAGACAGAGGTAGAAGGTACCTGGGGGGCCATCTAAGCCAGTACTTTCATTCTGTGGATAAGGAGCATCCCCAGAGTCATGGTGGATGCCAAATCTCCTCTAGTTTGACAGGATTCTGAGAGAGAGAGAGAGAGAGAGAGAGAGAGAGAGAGAGAGAGAGAGAGAGAGAGAGAGAGAGAGAGAGAGGGAGAGAGAGAGAGAGAGGGAGAGGGAGAGAGAGAGAGAGAGGGAGAGAGAGAGAGAGAGGGAGAGAGAGAGAGAGAGAGAGAGAGAGAGAGAGAGAGAGAGAGAGAGAGAGAGAGAGAGAGAGAGAGAGAGAGAGAGAGAGAGAGAGAGAGAATAATCAAGCTCAGACTCAAGGCAGGACCCACAGCTTAAATAAACCAGCTGCTTTTCCAAATATTTATCCCATCAAAACAAACGAAAAAACACAAAAACAACACCAGCTGTATGCCAGAGTGAACACTGATGTTAAAAGTTCCCATGGCTATATTCTCTTGGCTTCAGGAAAGCTCACATTTTAAAGCCATGTCACAATAACCTGGGCTTGAAGCCCTAAGGCTGCTTTTGTGCCACAACCTAGAGGATGATGGATTCCAAGCTGGAAGCCATCCCAAAGAACATCCTGGTCCAAGGCCCTTATGTTACAGAGAAGGACACTGAAGCCAGGGAGGCTCACAAGATCATAAAATGTAATTAAAAGGGACCTCAGAAGCCAACCAGTCCAGCTCCTTCACGTTACTGAGGAGGAAACCAAAGGCCAGGGACTTGCTCAAGGTCACAGTCAGGATCTGAATCCGGGTCCTCTAAGTCCATCCAAAGCCACTGTGTGGCACGGCCAGATAATGAGGAACATTAGATGGAACGTAGAGGACCATCTCCAGCACTGTAATTCAAGCAGATATTGAAAAATCTCACTCTAGAGCTATACGCTTCAGAGGGAAGATAGGCAACCTAGTGTGGCAAGGCAGATAGTGCTGGCTTTGGAGCAGGGAGGGCCTGGGTTCAAAGCCTATGTCTGGCTTTTCCTATACCAGGTACTCTGGGCCAGTGATATAACCTACCTGAGAGGCTCAGTTTTGTCATCTGTAAAATGGTGATGGTATTTATAATGCCTACCTCATAGGGTTGTGGGGCTCAAATGAGAATGTAAATAAGTGCTTTACAAACTTCACAGCCTGTTCGCTATGATTATTATTTAAAAATTATTGTGGCCCACCACACTTGGGAGCAGTTTTCCCACAGGTTTAAAAATTCTTCTGCAAGTTTCCTGTAGAAATGTGAAGTAAGCAGTACCAAAGCTCTGCTAATGTCACTGCTGATGATAATAATAATGATGACGATGATGTTTTCACACACTAGAGATGCTTTTCAAAAGGCTCACTCAAACAATATTCAATAAATGAAAAGTTAATGAAAAACCGAGTTCCTATAAAGTGTTTATTTTAAAGGAACTGGGCCCATCTATTTGAAGGAACCATAAAATTAAACCTTTTCTAAAAAAACCGCCCATCAGATAAAATAATTTCCCCCATTATCTGCGCCATCACAAACGTCCTGCACCCGGGCAGATCTCCGCACGGGCCCTTTCGGCTTCCCGGGGGCAGAACTAGGGTGGCACACTGCCCCATGTTCCCGTCTTAAGGGGAGGGCTGCGGGTAAGCCTTGGGGCGTGACACCGAGCCGGGCCCCCGAACGCCAGCCAGCCCCCCCAGCTCCGCCCGGCCCGAGGCCCCGCGGGCTTCGCCAAGATGCCCTTTCCAGCCCCGGGCACCGACGGGAAGCGTGGGGAGGCAGGGGGAGCTCCCACAGCCTGGGCCCAGGCCAGCTAGGGAAGCCCGGGGGCTCGGCTCAGGCGAGCGGCCCGATCTCTCGGGAAGGAGAGTGGGGGCTGCCGGCCCCGTGAGCCGGCGGGTCCGTGAGTCACCCTCGGGGCCCGGCCCCCTCCCCGTGACCCAGCGGGCAGGGCGGGAGGGTCCTCGGAGGGCCCGCAGCCGCCCCCCCCGCCCCAGCATCGCAGCGGGTGGGCGCGCTCCACGGCGGGGGGCGGCCCCTGGGCGCCGGCCTCCCCGCGGAGCCCCCCCCCGCCGCGCCCGCTCCTCGGCCCCTCCCCCGCCCCGCCTCGCCCTTGCCGCCGCTCGCTCAAGGTTAGGCGGCCGCGCGCTCACCTCGCACCGAGAGGTTGGAATGCAGCCCCATGGCGGCGCCGGCGCTCCGCGGGGAGTGTACGGGCGGGGGAGGGGGGGCGCCGCTGCAGCCTCGTGCCGACCGGCCCTCACCGCACACCGGGGTTCGCTCCGCCGGCCGCCCGCGCACCCTGACGCTCGACTCGAGGGCAAGCAATGCCGGCGGGCCGGAGGGCACTGCGCAGGCGCGGCAGACGCACGTGGAAGGGGCGGGACGAGAGGCCGGAGGCCGGGGGCACGGAGCATGCGCGCGCGTCAGGCTCCGCAGCCGGCCCCCCCCCCCGCCCTGTCCGGGCGTGTGTCGCTGTTCTCCTTCCCGGTGTGGCTTGGTCGGCTCCCCGGGTTCGGTTGTCTTTGCTGTGGGAACGAACGGGCAAAGCAGAACTGCTGGGCGTGCGCATTTAGTACGCACCTATTGTCTGCGAGGCACGGGGCTAAGCTTGGGTATACGCAAAGACGCAAAGGACAGTTCCTGCCCTCCAGGAGCTTGCAATCTAACTAGGGAGGGAGACTCCAGGCAAACAACTATATGCGCGTCAGGGATGAATAGGAAATGATGAGCGGAGGGACGGCACTGGAGGTGCAGTTTTAGCCGGTACTTGAAGGAAGGCAGGGATGCCCCGAGACGGAGATCGGCTGGGAGAGCACTCCGGGCATGGGGCTGAGGGAAGACCGCCAGAAGGCGACTACTCACAGCAGAGGCCAGGGTAGGGTGTAAGCCCTGCAAAGGTAGGAGAGGACCAGGCCATGAAAGGCTTTGTTTGTTTGTGTGAGGCAATCGGGGTTAAGTGACTTGCCCAGGGTCACACAGCTAGTAAGTATGGAGTGTCTGAGGTCACATTTGAACTCAGGACCTCCTGACTCCAAGGCCGGAGCTCTATCCCCTGCACCACCTAGCTTTCCCCGTGAAAGGCTTTGAACGCCTCCCTGAGCATCCCTCTCTCAAGGAGGGGAAACAGCCTACACCCCAGTTATGTCCAGACAAGACAAATGCACGCCTCGCATCAGGGGAGTGCGCTGAGAATGTCTAGCTTTGGCTTGAGGTTATCGTGTTCCCAGATGGGCACGTATTCAGGAAAGAGGTCCTTGACACGTAGCCCGGAAAGTGCGTGTTTTCTCCTAGCACCTGGTGTGAGATCCCAACTTGAAGACTTAACTGAGCTGTACGTTATACATTTCAGACCAAACATGAATAATGTATTGATAAAATTTTGAAATGCAATGAACTCCTAGATATCATTAGCACTGGGTAAAGAAATACTTTGGAAGTTTCATGAATCCTTTCCAAAGTCTTTCAAGTTATTTATAATCCAAGGGGAAAGATCGCTGGGCTTTGGATGCAGGAATATCGGGCTTATATCCTTAATTTTGCTCTCCCAGCTCACCAAAGTGAACTTGGCCAAGTCATCTCATGTCTCTGAGCCTCAGTTTCTTCATCTACTTAAATGAGGGAGTAGAGCTAGATGGTTTCCTTTGAGTTAAAATTCTAGGAGCTATCTTGGATAGTGAAGAAACAAACCTACCAGTGGATGAATTGCATCAGATGTCCTAGAGACGGCTCATAAGGGCCATTGTTAAATTTTGAGTATTTACATACACCTCTATTCCCAAGGCTCTCCAGATCTAACATGTCTTCTGTACCTATTGATAGCTAGGTGATACAGACCTGAATTCAAATCTAACCTCAGATATGTGAGCCCTCTTTTCTGTCTGTACTCTCTAGTTGGTTCTCCTTGGTTTTTATGAGTTAAGTTATCAGCTCTATTTAGTGACTCCCACATTTATATATCTAGCCCTAATCTCTTTCCTGAGCTCCAGAACTGCCTCACAAACTGCTTATTCCATTGAATATTTCAGACTGGTTATCTCAAACTCATTTTCTCTCTTAAAAATCCCCATATTGTTGTAGAGATCTCTCCCATCCCTCCCAACCTTAGTATCATCCTTGACTCCTCACTTTTACTGCTTCCACAGTAGCTGTAAAATCTCGTGATTTCTGTTTTTATTCCATCTCTTGCATTTATCCCCGTCTTTCTCCTCACTCAGCCACTACTTTGGTTCAGGACCTCATCACCTCTCCCTTGGTCCATAATTGCAATAACAAGGGTGTTAAATTATAAACAGAGGGCTTTATATTTGATCTTGCTCATAACAGGGAGCTGTGGAGTTTATTGAGAGTTGAGGGGAGGCTCACTTGGCCAAATCTGTACTTTTGAAAAATCATTTTAATAAATGAATGAAGGCTATAATGGAGAGAGAGAGATGAGTTAGTGCAATTCAGAGCCTCTTGCGGTAGTCCAGGTGAGTGATGAGGACAGCCTGTGTATCAGCCGTGCGGCTGTGTGGATGCAGAGAAGAGGATGTGTGTAAGAGATGTTGGGGAGGGGGAAATGACAAGATTTGACAATGTAGTGAGTATGTGGGATGAACTCAGGTAAGAAATTGAGGAGGACCCCAAGGTTGCTGAGCCTGGGTATTTGGAAGGATAGTGCCACACTTAGCAGTAATGGGAAAGTCAGGAAGAGGAGAAGGCTTGAGAAGAAAGACAATGAGTCCTACTTGGGATAGCTTGAGTTTGAAATGCTTAGGGGACCTCTGATTCAAGATGTCTGTAAGGCAATAGATGATCTTTCTCAGAGAAAGCTTAGGTCTGGCTATATAAATCTGGGGATTAACTTTATAGAGATGATAATTGAACCTAAGGGAACTGGTGAGATCACCAATTGAGATCATGTAGAACAGGGGTCAACAAACTATGGACAACAGCCCAAATCTGACCTCCTGCCTGGTACAGCTGAAAACAAAGAATGTTTTTTACATTTTTAAATAAGGCTTTTTTATATTCAAAAATGTAAAAACCAGTCTTAGCTCAAAGGCTAGATAAAAACAAGCCCCCATGCTTCCTGTCTGTAGTTTGCTGACACCTGGTATAGCATAAAAATTGAAGAGGACCCAGGACAGAGCCTTCATATACACAATTAGGGGATGTGACCTGGATGAAGAAACTGCATGAGTTCGAGTGGTCAGACTCATCAGAGGAGAATCAGGAGGGACTACCTAGGAAGAAATGATGATGGAAATGCCAAAGACTGCAATGAGGAATGAGAAAAGGCCATGAGATTTGGCAATGAGGAGATCATCAGTAACTTTAAAGAGCGTAGTTGAATGATGAGGTCAGAAGCCACCAACCTGGCAACTGCTTCTGTAGGTCCTACAGTCACAATTACTGAAGACCCAGAAAAGAAAGTTCTTGATGCCAAAATAGTTGGCGTTGTTAAATGGTTCAACATCAGAAACCAAAATGATTTTATCAGTGGAAATGACCATCTGCTTTGCCGTAAAGACTGATGAGGTTTAGGGGTGCTGGGACCCCAAGATCGCAACACATGGGTCTTGTCCAAAGGAATTCGACCTAAGCCTTCTTTCAGCCAAAGAAAAGGTTTATTAAAGATCTGCCATATTAGCCAGACTCTTGAGGAATCTGAGAGTCTGTGAGGTATTGGCCAGATTCTAAGAATCTGAGCAGTGGCATACACTTCCTGATAGGGCGTTTATCCTTGTCCTCTATGCTGTGGAAGGTGTACCCAGGTCCATGGCCTCGAACTAACCCAGTGGACAGAGAGCCTCAGAGTGCATCAGGCCGAGTTTGAGATGGTCTCGTAACTGCCTGAAAAACACCTCCAAGCCTTGGTGCTTGGAGAGTGACCCCCAACTGCAGAGCAAGAAAGGGAGGGGGAGAGGCTTATATACCTTCTAGTCTTGGCTGGAGAAGAACTTGGGGTTAGGCAGTTTTCCCGTATGGGCCACCAAAATGTTAATGTTTAGGGGTGCTAGAACCCCAAAATCAGAACATGCAGGTCCTGCCGAAAAGAATTCAACCCAAGCCTTCTTTCGGCCAAAGACAAGGTTTATTAGAACATCTGTCATTTTGGGCAGACTCTTAAGGAGGCTGAACATTAGTAAGCTATTGGCTAGATTATAAGAATCTGTGCAATGGCTAGATTTTAAGAATCTAAGCACCTCAGTGGAGACAAAATGGAACTTATATACAGAAAGACTGTGGGAGGGATCTAGGAGTAGCCATGTAGTTTGGGTTGACTAGAGAAGGGGTCTAAGGAAGATCTGAATGGGAGTGGCCAATAAGCTGGGGCGAATAGAACTTCTGGCACCTGGACCACTTGGCCAAGGGAGAATGGAGCCTAGCTAGGATTAAGGGTGGGAAATGTCGGGGGCTATAGGGAGGTAAGACAATGGAGGGGAGATTGGGTGTAGCCACAGTGAAAGGCCAGTTAATGGGATTATAGCCTCAGATGAACGCCAGAGATTTGGCTGTGTGGGAAAGTCCAAGGTTTTTCCTTTCTGGAATCCAGATCCCAACCTCATCAAGACCATAGAACCTTTCTATTTAACTTGTAGTTCAATCTTCCATGCGTTGTTTTCCCCATTAGCAGGACTGACTTTTCTATTTGTATCCCAGGGCTTAGCCCTGTGTTACGTACATAGTAAGCACTCAATAAATCATTCACTCGCTCATTCATTCATTCTTCAGAATGTAGAATGCAGAAGGATTCAAATCCAGAGGGGAGAAAGTGGAAGCACCTGTAGTATAGATAGCTTTCCCAGTGAGTTCAGCCAAGAGGGGGAGGAGAGATACAGGATGAAAGCTAGTGGGGATGGTTGGACCCAGTGAAGATTGGTTTTCATCAAGACTCCTCAGGATTCATTTTCTGGTAGTCTCTCTTCCCCCAATCCTTCCCCTTTAAATACAAAAGCCATGTTGTATCTGTTTCACACATCCTTATATAGTATGTGTGAGTGTTGTCTAGCCAGACAGAATCCAGTCTCTGTGAAGGCAGGAAATGTTTGCTAGGAAGAACCAACCTAAGTCACTACAGAGAGTCATATCATCAGGAGGATGGTCACGTGGTGATGATTTAATTTTGGGGGGGCCATGACGACCCATATGAAAAAGAAAAAGAAGACATAGTCCACAGACCTGTGTAACCAACCCCCTTCTGCTTTAGCAGTCAGGAAAGGGCGCTAAGTAAGAATCACACAGCTTTTAGGTTGTCAATAACCTTTAATTTGACAACAGGTCTGAATGTAAGTGCCTTGTTAAGTGATTGAGTGGATATAATGCTAGAAAAGCCAGAGAATATTAATTTTGATGTACTTCATAACTAATATGCATTATGTTACATATATACATGCATGTATATATCTATATGTTGTATATACATACCTACATCACATACACACACATATAACAACAGTATCCTCTAAATTATTGTTCCTGCTTCCAGATCAACCCTTTAGTCACCATCAAGGGGAGCAACCCTTGTGGAGAAGGGGTACACCAACACTGCCACCATTTGCATTAGATTGGGAACACCTGGAGGGCAATGAGTGGGAAGAGTTTTTTTGCCTTTGTATTCCTAGCAGTTAGCAGAAAGACTAGCACATAGTAGGTGCTTAATAAATGCTAGTTGACTGACTAATACCAACCGGTATTAGTAAAGCAGTCCTGGGCAGGTAAACTAAAAGCCTTCCTGCCCAGACCACCCACCTGTCCCCTGCAGCCATGATCCTGAGAAGCAGCCCCTGTGGAATTGTGACTCAGCAATTTCCTCTACCTCTACCTCCTTCCTCCCCACCAACCTCCTTAGCAGCCAGAGCTACTAAAGGCATGAGGATGAAAGATCTAGATGCCACAGTCCTTAG